GGGCTTGATTTCACGAGCCACGGGCCCATCACCAGGGCTGATTTTCATAAAGCCAGCGCCCATCACCAGGGCTGATTTACACGCCACTCCATCACCAGCTGATTTTCACAGCCACGCCCACCACCAGGGCCTATTTTCGGGGTAGGGCTTCTATTGCACACCTGCTCGGACATCCTGCCGGTGGGTGTCATTTTTCGGGAAGGTCTTTTTTTTTTCGGAGGAAACGACGGTAGCTGCGGAAGAAAAGAAGTAAGACTGCCGGCAAGAGTGAATTTACGTTATGCTGTGTGGTTGTGTGGCACGACGCCCGCTGGACCAAGGACACGCGTGGTAAAAATTTTCGCTTCTCTCTGTGCAGTTCGGGTCCATGGTCTAACTGGAAAACTGTCAAAGTGCTCTCTCTGGAGATGATCGGAGCTGATGGAGAAATTGCGCGTTCTCCTCATCCTCCCCCTTCCAGAACTTGAGATTGATCACAACACTGGGAGTGGTGGGTCGGAAGAGTTGAAGCTTGTAAGGGGTTTACGTTTCAGCATCTGGAGACAAGCTTTTGCCATTTTTTTTTGTGTGTGTGGTGCGTGCGTGCGTGTGTGGCGTGTGTGTTCTATTCCAACATATCCTGTGGGATATGTAGATCGCTATTGCTATCTTAAACCCTTTGCACTCGCGTCGTCATTTTCTCTCTTGCTGGTACCCATGCAGACCGTCTCGAGCCGCGCTGACGCACGTCGAGCGAGTGCAAAGGTGTTAAATGCTGCTTCAGCTGAAAATGGAGCAAATGCATCGTATGGTTGCGTGTCTGCGCTAGCGATAACCCGTGATAATTCGTCGAGCACCTAAAGCTGCCTCGTCCCATCCTATTGAGTCGTTTAAACGGATGGTGGGTTGCCAGGAACGCGCCCAGGAAAGCAAGCGCCCCTAAAGGAACACCGGGGAAAAATAAAAATGCATTTCCTGGCGACAGAAGTGTGTTTGCATACGCTCACGACGCCTTAGTCCGGGAAGCTGAAGAAAAGAGCGTGTCGGGCAGAGAGCGCTACAGAAACGACATCTTCAGCGTGAGGTGACCATCCTTCAAGACCTTGTCTGTATTTCGCTTTCATTATCCTGTGTTGGGTTATCACAAGCTTTGTGGAATGCACGAAAGGAAAGAAAAAAAAGAGGCATGCAAGCAGGGGACTGTTGGAAGAGCAGTCTTCCGTCCTGTTGATCGGGATGGCTGGGACCACACAGCCCGATATCGTTGTGTCTTCCATCGCCACCCGGTAGCAGTAAGTGTTCAGTCGGATCCAAATAAATAGAGATCTGCAGCCCTACTGTGTGCGGTGGCTCCGAACCCCTCGGCAGTTTACCATGTCCTCTTTGCCCATCCGATTTTAGGGAAACTCCCGGACGTTAAGGCAGGGACTATGCGCCCCCTCGTCTGCTGGCGGCCTAGGCACCAGCAGATCTGAATTGCTGTCAGGGACTTGGGACAGAGCCTTCACACCAATCCGTACTTCATCCCGATGGATGGGGGAAAAAGTCCCTTAATTGGAAAAGAATATTTGTCATGTTCTTATGCCACATGGAAGAAACAAGAATAAGATCGTCTGCAGCGTATTTTTACCAGGAGATTGTGGAAAATTGAATTAAAATGGTCCAGATCAGTTTTTCTTTCTGTTTCATTTTTTGAGACAGTCTCACTCTGTCGCCAGGCTGAGTGAGTGGTGGCGTCAGCCTCGCTCACGGCAACCTCAGAACTGGTCAAGCGACCTCCTGCTTCAGCCTCCTCTGAGTACCTGGGACACAGTGTGCGCCACCATGCCCGGCTCATTTTTTTCTATGTATTTTTAGTTGGCCAATTAATTTCTTTCTATTTATAGTAGAGACGGGGTCTCGCTCTTGCTCAGGCTGGTTTTGAACTCCTGACCTTGAGTGATCCTCCCGCCTCGGCATCCCAGAGTGCTAGGATGACAGGCGTGAGCCACCATGGCCGGCCGGGATCTGGTTTTTTAGATAGTAATAATTGAAGCAGCAAAACCTCCCCGTTGATTTAAAAGTCATGGCAGCAATAACAGCAAATGTGAGAAAAATATGGAGTGTGGTCATAGAAACACACAATCTACCATGTTTCCCCGAATTTAAGACCCACCCACAAAACAAGCCCCAGCAGGATGTCTAAGCATGTGCACAATAGAAGCCCTACCCCGAAAATCAGCCCTAGTGACGGGTGTGGCTATGAAAATCAGCCCTTGTGATGGGCGTGGCTATGAAAATCAGCCCTAGCGATGGGCGTGGCTATGAAAATCAGCCCTGGTGGTGGGCGTGGCCATGAAAATCAGCCCTGGTGATGGGCGTGGCTATGAAAATCAGCCCTACTGATGGGCGTGGCCATGAAAATCAGCCCTGGTGAGGGGCATGGCTATGAAAATCAGCCCTAGTGACGGGCGTGGCTGTGCAGCGCATCTGCACAACCCATGCCTGTGGTCCCGTAGCGGGAAAGAACACGAGCAGCCCTTCTCATCCGCCCCGTGAGAGCTCTAGTGCTCGACAGGAGAGATCGGGGCCGGTGGCTCTAAAGGAAACAGAGTCGCAAGACATTCAGGATGGGATTCGGGGTCTGGAGAGTGAGGATGATGTTTCAGAAGAAGACGACTTTACTCTGTTTGAATCAATGCAGATGGTTGTACTGCACTTAAGAAAAAATAACACATCCCCTGAAAATAAGCCCTAGGGTGTCTTCTTGAGGAAAAATAAATAGAAGACCCTGTCTTATTTTCGGGGAAACACGGTAGTTACTCATCAACTATAATCTACTCATGGGGTTTGAAACCCACCTGGAAAAAGAAACTATTTAAAAATCCTTGAAGGGAAAATTTCGATTGCGCATGTGTAGTGTTGGTCTCTAAGAGAAATTTCTGTTCCGAGGGGAATGTCCTATATCTGCCCTGTCCCGGAGCTAGATGTGGCTACCACGCTTTCGAAATGTGGCCAACGCAGACGAGAAACCGAATCTTTAATTTTAATGAATTTAAATTGGAATACCCTCCTGTGATTAGTGGCAGTTGTATTGGATAGTGCAGATAGAGATCTTGATAGTCTGTGTTTTGCTTTGAAAATTACAGAAGTGAGTATTAGCTTATTAAGCGTGAAACGTCCGAGTTTCCTTGAGTATTAAGTTTGACGGTTGACGTCTTTGACATTTCACTTTGACGCTTCCTGTTTTATTTTTATTGGGAAGATACATGCTCATTCTTTCAGACGGGTGGTTTGGCTTGTGATTATCTTTCAAAAAAAGAAATTTTTTTTTTTTTTCAAGAGCCATTTGTGTGAAACCATGGATAAGTAAAAAGTTCAGCGTTATTTTCGATCATGAATTCTGTTGTGGAACCAATGCAGTACAGACAGCTCGAAATGTTACTGGAATGTTTGGGAGGGACATGGCGAATGAACCCCACAGCACGTCGATGGTTCGAGAAGTCCCGTTCTGGTGATTTTTTTTTTTTTCTTGAAAATGAGCCCCATAGAGGGGCCCGAGACCAACCTGGATAATGACAAGCTGAATGAAAACTTCAGTGGAAGCGAACCTGTGTCAACCTACGTGTGAATTAGCAGCAAGGTTTGACGTCACTGTGCCAACGGTATTGGACCGTCTGAAACAAATCGGCAAGGTAAAAAAAGCTGGATAGATGGGTTCTGCCTGAATTAAATGAGCGTCAAAAGAGAAATCGTCTCCAACCTTGCCTTTCTTTGCTGTCACGACATAAAGGTGAACAATTTCTACATCGTATTGCTTTTTTGTTTTGTTTTGTTTTATGAGTCAGAGTCTCGCTTTGTCGCCCAGGCTAGAGTGAGTGCCGTGGCGTCAGCCTAGCTCACAGCAACCTCCAACTCCTGGGCTCAAGCGATCCTCCTGCCTCAGCCTCCCAAGTAGCTGGGACTACAGGCATGCGCCACCACGCCCGGCTCATTTTTTCTCTATATTTTTAGTTGGCCAATTAATTTCTTTCTATTTATAGTAGAGACGGGGGGTCTCGCTCTTGCTCAGGCTGGTCTCGAACTCCTGACCTCGAGCAATCCTCCTGCCTCGGCCTCCCAGAGTGCTAGGATGACAGGCGTGAGCCACCGCGCCCGGCCTCTACACCGTATTGTTACGTGGGATGGAAAACGGATTCTTTTTGATAATCGCAAGCAATTGGCACAATGGGTGGATAAAACGTGAAGTGCCGAAACACAGCCCCAAACTCGATATTCACAAAAAAAAAAAAAAAAAAAAAAAAAAAAGCTAATGGTGTCTGTTTGGTGGTCCAGAGCTGATATCTCATGCACCACAGCTTCATGAAACCTGGTCAGCGGATTCCAGCGAAAATCTACTGCCACCAATTGGATGAAATGACGAAGATGCCCGTGATGAAGCAGCTGCGACTGGTCAACAGAGACAGGCCGGTCTCCTTGCAAGACCCCGTGTTGCAAAACAACCAACGCTGCTCAAACTACAGGGGCTGGACTTGGAACCTCTCTGTCACCCACCGTGGTCACCAGACCTTGCACCAGCTGACCCGACCAGTTCTTCCAGGCTTTGGACCACTTTTTGCAAGGGCAAATGTTCAATTCTCAGCAAGCTGTGGGAGACAACCTTTGACAACTTCCTTGCCACTCGCTCCCCAGGCTTCTTTGCTGCTGGCATAAGCAAGCTCCCGTGAAGACAGCAAAGGCAAAACCGAACCGACAGCTTTAGGCGTGCATCCTTTGACTAACTGCACCGCTTCTGGTTGGAGATAGAATAAACTACACGTCTGATTGGAAATCGGGCATTTTCATATTTAATGACCTAATAAGAAGGAATGATTGTGGGCAATTCCGCTCAAAGTTTGTGTGTGTGTGTGTGTGTGTGTTAGTCGAAGCCGAATCCATGTCTTCCTGATTTTGAACTCTCCTTAATTGGCATGTTTTTATGTAGAAACCGCAGGTCTTTCCGAGTGCGCTAGTTCTGAGGGCTCTTTCCGCGTCTCGCGCAGGTTAAAGTGAAAAACGAGAATGTCGCCTTTGCCATGAAGTGCATCCGGAAGAAGCACATCGTGGATACCAAGCAGCAGGAGCACGTCTACTCGGAAAAGAAGATTCTGGAAGAGCTATGCTCCCCCTTCATCGTGAAGTGAGTGAGCACCGTGGCCCCCCGGGACGTAGGGTGTTGAGGCTCTTCTTTTTTTTTATTTTTGACACAGAGTCTCGCTTTGTTGCCCAGGCTAGAGTGAGTGCCGTGGCGTCAGCCTCGCTCACAGCAACCTCCAACTCCTGGGCTCAAGCGATCCTCCTGCCTCAGCCTCCTCCCGAGTAGCTGGGACTACAGGCA